TCTTACATAAGTCGGATAATAATAACATTCTTAAATTAGTATTACTACCAATCTCACCATTTCTGAAATTCGCTCCGGGTCCATTCAAATTTATGATCATCAATTCTGAACGTCGCTTCGGGTGTTCCATACTTTAATTGTGGGAAATAAACATTAAATTCCGCATTAGGTGTGGTCACGATCACAACTTTTGGTTTATAAGTTCCAAGAACAACTTTAAAAAATTTGTTCAATACTGGTGGATAAACATGTTCTATTCTTGTATGAAGGATAACCGAAACAGAGTTCAATAACCAAAATGTGATTAAAAAAATTTATGTTGGAATATGAATGTCTTGAATGTCTTACACTTCCGAGCATACTAAAGCCTCAGATCCTAGTAACCTTTCGTCAGCAACATCAATACTTCCTAAGAATCAAACAATTCCTTTTGTTCAATATAAAAACAGGTGTTTCTTTTCCTTTAACCCCGATCATTAAGCACATAATCATCCTATCCTCATTTATCACCTTGGTATATATCTATTGTCAGGGGGGTTAACCTTAAATTATCAAAGTCTTCTTTTCTTGGGCGGCAATTTTCCACAGTATATTTCAGTGTTTCCTGACTGATGTCTACTCCAGCAAGATGCGTGATCGGTGATTTTTCCCAAGGCTGAACAAGAAAAGAAAGGAGTGAACCCTCTCCACAGCCAAAATCAACCACCTAATTCCAATTAAATATCAATAGGCGTATATTAATCGATTCTTTTTATATGAAAATATCGCCCTTTAGAAATGGAGAATTCTTCACGATAATTTACCGAAGTAACTTTACTTTCTTGTAGTACAAGATTAATGAAAATTCGCCTTTGTAGCCATAAAGGAGGATTAAAACAAATCCAATCACAATCCTCATTGCTTGACATATTTTATCGTATCAAATGTTCGAAGGTTAAAAATAACTACATATTAACATTTAATGTTAATAATGTAATGATCTAATGGTCGTACAAGTTTTCACATGAAAGGCTTGAATTTCCTGTAGGTACCAGAATTTGTAACCTATTATTTCTTTATATATATCGATATATACACAGGATACTTTTTCTATTTTTAGATGACTATTTCCATGGAAACGGAGCGAATTTCAGAAATGGTGAGATTGGTAGTAATACTAATTTAAGAATGTTATTATTATCCGACTTATGTAAGA